AATTGTTTTTTTTTTGTTTTTTTAGGGATAATATTTCAGAGAGAATAGCAGTGCTACTTGAAACATTTCCTACTTTTCTACTTCTTGCTCTTGCAAAGTCTTCATATTCAAAGAAAAGTCTTTGCTCTCTTTTGTTCCCCAGGCTAGTTTAAAAAAAAAAATCATTGGAGTTTATTTTTATAACATTTATTACTAGGAATATTCTGTACATGAAACATCTAGATAGAAAACAGTCCAAAAATCTAAGAAAGCAGAGTGGTAAAATCATTGAAGCATGTAAGAATATGCATCTTATAACAAGGTTTTATCACAGAGAAGATGGAAATATTCAGCCTTGTGAAAATTTTATCTACATTTTTTACTTTCTCTTTATGGAAATGAGTGAGCATGAGTTGCACCAGACTACAATAAAGGAGATTAATAACCAACTTTATTATTTTAAAAAATCATTACGCTAAAATTGTAATCTGGCATTCAGAAATTTAATTTATGCTTATTGCAAACAGAATGAGAGCTTTGATAAATACCCAAAGATTTAATAATGTATTTTATAGTCAATATTAAAGACGTTAGAATGTGGATAAACCAGACAGGTCAATCAAGAAACATTTCACTCTTCTGTAGATACTCTAATCTACTATGATTTCTAGAATGAATTGTCTCTAAAACACCCTCTAGTATACAATACATCATTTGGATCTTAAAAGATGCTTCCCTGGGGAGGAATATATTTAAAGCTAGATCCTTTCAATGGTCAAATCCTAAATCAGTATTTCCTAAATCTAAGCGGAGAAAATGTGGAGCTCAATTTTTTAAAAGATTGATACAAAGGCTAATTGGATAGGCCTACTGTAGGTTGCCATAGTAATGTTTGTTTCTTTTCATGTAGTGCAAATAGCATAAAATTTCATCTTCATTGACAATTTAAAAACAAGAGAACCCCTTTAAAATTTATTGTAAGAACAATAAAATACAACAGCATATGATAAAAATGAACAGATCACATAAACATCTAACCAACTTTCTAAAATGAGGCAGAATATTAAGCTCTGTTGAAAACAACGCTATTGGGCCAGCCAACAATTCAAGGTTGGATATGAACATTTGGAAGGGCAGTATTTCACAGCTTCATAGCCAATGAAAAATTGGATGGGGAGGCACATGCGCAATTAAGGCTGAAATACTAACTCCTCTCCATATTCAAACATACTCATTGCTTTGGTGCCTTGTTTAACATTCTTAAATGGCTTTGGATGGCAAGTAGTGAAGAAAAGCAGGCAAAGGAAATTGTTTTGATTATCATAATTCACAATAATTAAACAGGAGGAAGGTGAAATCTGGTTGGGATTCAGCATCTTTCCCAGGGAATTTTCAAGCCTAGTATTGCAGTAACTTGAGTATTTAAAGTGGCTTACCACATTTTTAATATGTAATATCTCCAAGGGGGAAAAAATGACAACTTATCGTTAGGATCATTCTAATGCTCTTTAAACTAAAAATGGATTTAAAGACAAAAGCAGAAAATCACCAAAATGCTATAAAAAGATACCAAAATGTTGTTGTTGTTGTCATCTTGCGATCTTCTCAATCTAGACATGGTAAGACATGCCCTGATAAGCAAACATCTGTTGTCACTCTTCACCGGCTCAAGGTTGACTCAACCTTCCATCCTTCCGAGGTGGGTGAAATGAGGACCCAGACTGTGGGGGCAATATGCTGACTCTGTAAACCGC